TTCCCAAGGAAATTCGTTATCCTCATTCTTATCACCTCAATAAATCTTCACTTTATAATTGCCATTTCCATCTGGCAAAATGATATATTTCATGTCTAATCCCTTGGCATCTAACTTAGAGTCTTTGTCAATTTTATCGTTAAACTTTTCCTTCAATAATTTCTTATGCATTTCTTTTTTAGCTTGCTCAAATTTGGCTCGCTCACCAGGCTCTACTATTATTTTTCTTTCCTCTTTATCTATTTTTCAACCAGCATCAACTTTTATAGCATATTCGATATTACCTTCATTAGTGTCTTGATACTTATCAGTTTTTCACTGAAACTTTGGAATTATCAATACTTTATGGAGTTCCTTTTTAATATCCACAAATCGTTCTACCGGGACAATTTTATCACCTTTTTTTTCTATGATTCTTACTTCTAAATCTGTTTCAGGTGCTCCCTTAATGGTAATTTGATTACCAGAAGCTTCCATCTCAGTATCAGAAAGAGTAGATCAGCGTATTTCTTTCATTTGCTTAAATAATGCTTATTTACTTTTTCTTTTTTTGAAAGTACATATTTTTTTTATACTTTTTTAAAGTAAAAGAGGCGGCTTTTTTAAAGACCAGGAAAGATGAGTCCTTATTATTCTTATCATTAATTTTTATTCTTATCATTAATTTATTTTAATACTAATGGCGCTCCTGCCGGGAATCGAACCCGAGCCCTCCGAGAGACAGTCGGAGATCATAACCACTAGACCACAGAAGCAGTAGAGTTTGGCACTCACAGCAGGAATCGAACCTGCCTTTTTAAAGTAAATTTTCTTCTTGGTACCCAGAGCCGGACTCGAACCGGCAAGGACATGTGTCCATAGGATCTTAAGTCCCACGCGTCTACCAATTCCGCTGAACCTGGGCAATTTCTAAAATTTTTTTGGCAGAGGCGGCAGGACTCGAACCCACAACAATCGGATCTGAAGGCCGATGTTCTACCAATTGAACTACACCTCTCCAGTTTTTAAAGATCAATTGATATTCACCAGTCAAACTGTTTTATTAAGGGTATGCTAACTTACAATTTGGTGACCCGTACGGGAATCAAACCCGTCAATATATGCGTGAAAGGCATACGTGTTAATCAATTCACCAACGGGCCCCGAGTTAAATCCTAATAAACTCTCGTAACTGTTGAACGCTCATGCTCCCACTTCCCCTTTTGATCATTTTGCCCTGGTGAAAGAGAAAGATAACTGGCACAGAAGAAACGTTAAATGGAGACCGTTGAGCCAGTCGGGGAAATTTTTCGGCATCAACCTGTAGCACGACCAAATCCTTTGATGGTTCGGCAGTGGTCTCCAATTCACTCAATAATCTCTCAATACTTTTTTGAAGTACTTGACAGGGAGGACACCAAACCGTCGAAAACTTGACCAGCACCAGTTTATCTCGCTCATCTCGGAGAAAGGAATCAAAATCCTCTTCTTTGACTAACTCAACTATTTTTTTTAGCATCGGAGAGTGGGGAGGAGTAAATTAATACTCCTATTCTATAAACCTTCTTCTTCCTTGTCTTCTTTGTTGCTGGAAGCAATTCATCATCAAATTAATCCAATTATAGCTAAAATAGTGAATCCAATTACTAAATAAAGTGGTCACCTAATGGCTTTAAAAAAACCAATGCCCGGTTTTATTTCTTGTTGCATCTCTCCCATCCCTTCTACTTTTTTGTCCAATATTATACCTTCAGTTCACATTCCACCATCATATTTAACTACTACCGTGCCATCTTTTCATTCTTTTTTACCATCCTCTTTCTTTTCAGCATACTTTACTTTTAATTTATCTTTAGCTTCAACACCTTTCTCAACATCATCTTTTTCGAACTTTACAGTTTGATCGGTGTCAGTTTTAATAAAAAATTTTTTATCACCTACTTTTACCTCTTGTTCCTTAATTGCTATTTTTGTGTATTCTTTACCAGACATATTTATTATTTTATATTATTTTGCTAATTTTACTTATTATTTATATAGTTATTTTTATCTTATTTGGAGCGAATAAGGGGAGTCGAACCCCTATCAATAGCTTGGAAGGCTATGGCTCTACCATTGAGCTATATTCGCAATAGCGGAAAAACTTTTAGTTTTCCGCCCCTCCACCTAATTATTTTTTCTTGCTAATCTTTTCTTTTAAATCAATTGAGAATTTCGCCTTTGGAACCTGCTTGGCTGGAATAGTCATCTTTTTTTTAGTTTGCAAATTCATTGCCACTCGTGGCTTTTGCATTACAGTATGTAAAGAGTAATAACTGGGAAAACGAATTGTTTCCCCTTTTAGAAGGGACTTTTTAGTTTCCTCCAATACTTCACTAATTACTGCTTCAATTTGTAACTTGTTTAAAGAAAGGATGCGACCCTTATTACTATAAATTCTTTCCGCTAATTTTGCCTTTCCTACTATTGACACTACTGGTTTTTTTGTTGACTTTTTCGTTACCATATACTATTTTTATACTATTAACACTATTATTATTTGGTGGTTTGGGGCAGAATCGAACTGCCGACCTTCAGCTCTTCAGGCTGACGCTCTACCCCTGAGCATTACCAAACCTTTATAATTGATAAATGGTTATCACTCGGAAATGAACTGCATAATCGGGATAAATAGAAACTTCTACTTGGGGAAAGTATTCTATTATTAATTTTATAACTTTTTCGGCTTGCTGGTGACCAATTTCAACCACCAAAAGAAACTTTTTACTCAGAAAATTACGGGCTTGTTGGAAAATCTGTTGGTAAAAAAAATAGCCATCATTTTCAGCCAGTAAAGCCTCAATAGGTTGAGTTTTGACCACCGAAGAAAGGTTTTGGTATTCCTGACTACTGACATAAGGAGGATTAGAAACGATAATACTAAATTTTTCCGCTTGAGTTAAATTAATAAAAAGGTTGCTCTGAATAAATTTAATATTTTTAGTTTGTTGAAGTAGCGAGTTTTTTTCCGCCACCGCCAGGGCTTGCGAGTTAATATCAATGGCAGTAAAACTTCATTTTGGTTTACTTTTAGCCAAAGAAATGGCAATATTTCCACAACCAACTCCAATTTCCAATACCCTTAATGGTTGTTCGGAATCTCAAATTTTATCAGCCAATTCCAAAGTTTTCTCCACTAATATTTCCGTATCTGGTTGGGGGATAAATACTCCTTTTTCGATCAAGAAATCTAGGCCATAGAAAGAAACTTGATTAGTTAAATAAGGAACTGGATAACTTTCTTTTAAATATCTACTTAAATTACGACAAATCCGAGCATAATCAGAAACCGACAATAATTTATTAGAAAAATCGGATCAAAAATGCTCGGGAATTGTCTGGCAAATTGTAATTATATCTTTTCTTACTTCTTGAATATTAATATCTTTTCGCAAAGCAAGCGCATAATTCCAACAATCTTGGTAAGAATATTTATTCGGCTGACTTTCTACCATAATTATTATTAATTTTTCTTATAATTTCAAACTGAGCACCTTCAGAAAAGAATTGATAATAAACGGAATTTTAAGGACGTTGAACGGCATTTTTAACTCGGGATTCATTATTAAGATAATAAGTGCGGGTATTCGGGTCATACTTTTCGATATCTCTTTCTAAATAAAATACCCTGAATGCGAATTCATATCGTCGATTTTGTTGTTGTAAATGGTTTTTAGCCAGAAGTTTTTTAATTGAAGGGTTATCGGAGTGAAAAACATATTTATCCAACTCTTGCTCGGGTTTTCCTGCTTGAACTTGGTTATCAATAAAAACATAATCCTTACCATTATATTTAGAATAATCAAAATAAATTTCTTTGCTCTTGGTGTTTTCTCAGCGGTTTAGAAAATCGGAGTCATCTTTGATTGACGAAAAGGGAGTTAAAGTAAAATCATGTTCCAAAATAGTTAATAGAGGTTGGCCATTCTTATCCACCTTTTCAACTTTACTTCCCCGGTTTTTGGAATAAACGAGAGTGAAAATTAAGTTCTCTTGCCATAAATCCTTGTCTACCAAAATCGAAGTATTTTTTGGAATTAAAAATCTTTTCTTGGTGGGATACATTCATTTTCCATCTTTCGCTTCCGAAAAAACTCAGTAGTCGCGGTATTTGTCAAAAATTTCTAAACTACCCGCTCAAAAAACTTTTATTTCAGTCTTATTATTATCGGAAGGGGGGAGGTTTTCGTGGTTAGTGGGATTTTGCGGATCAGAGGGTAAATTATTAGAATCATCTTTGAATGGTAGAGTTGGTCTTTTCTCTTTTTTAAATGATTTATCCTCATCATTACTAATTTGATTTGAACTATTTCTATAAATTAGAAAACTACCGCCAACTAATAGGAACAAAAAACATACTCCACTAATGATTAAGACTGTTTTTTTTTTTTTTTTTTTGTAGATTATTCATTATAACTTATTATTCTATCTTATATTATTATATAGACAAGTTTTACAAATAATATTTAAAAATCTATTAATAGTATGTCTTTTTCCTCTAAATATGACTTTAATTTAACTGAAAAAAGTCCAAAAACCAAATACTGAAAGCAAATAACTGAAAATGCTTCCACTAACTTTGTCGGAACTTTGCTCTTACCTCCTCCTAACATTACTGGTAATTTACATTTAGGACATGCTTTTGAGTCAGTGATTCAGGATTTTTTGGTGCGGTTTTCTTATCTCCACGGAAAACCAATTTATTGAATCGCCGGAATTGACCATGCGGGAATTTCTACGCAAAGTAAAATTGAAAAATTACAACTTCCTGAACTTAATACTGATGAAAAAAAAAGAAACTATACTTTTCAAACTTGATATCCTCAAACTCGCCAACATTTTTATCAGCAATGGGAAAAACTTGGTTTATTAATTGACTATGAACGAGCTAGTTTCACCCTAAACCCTATTATTCAGCAGCAAGTTAGAGCAGCCTTTGTTAAACTTTACCAGGAGGGACTAATTTACCGAGGTAAAAAATTAGTAAACTGGGATCCCCAATTAAAAAGTGTAATTTCAGATATTGAAGTGGAACATAAACCGAGCAAAAGCAAACTATATTATTTAAAATATCCGCTTCGCAATAGCAATAATTACTTATTAGTAGCAACTAGTCGCCCCGAAACTATTTTTGCTGATGTGGCCTTGTTTGTTAACCCCCATGACCCCCGTTATCAAAAATATCTCCACCAGCAAATAAACCACCCTTGAACTAAAAAAATTATCCCGATTTTGCCGGATGAAAGCATTAAAATTGATTTTGGCAGTGGAGTTTTGAAATGCACCCCCGGACATGACTTTACTGATTATGAATTAGGAAAAAAATATCAATTACCAATTATTAGTTGTTGCAATGAACAAGGTATTTTAAATGAATTAGCCAGTCAGTGGCAAGGACAAGCAATTAGTAGCATTCGTGAAGAATTGGTGGCTAAGTTAGTTGAAAAAGACATTTGTGTAAAAATTGAGGAGTATGAAACCAATTTGGCTTATTCTTCCAAGTCTGGAACGGTCATTGAACCCTTACTTTCTCAACAGTGATTTTTGGACTTACCGGCCTTAATTAAGCAGGTAGAAAAAAAACAACCTAACTTTTTAACCAACATAGATTTCACGACCAACCAATTTCGAAAAATTTTAGAAAATTGATGCAGTAAAATTCATGAGTGGTGTATTTCTCGCCAGTTATGATGAGGACACCGAATACCAGCTTGATATCATAAAAAAACTGGGGAGATTTATGTGGGAATGGTTCCACCACCCCAAGAAGCAGAATGAGAACCCGAAAAAGATGTGTTGGATACTTGGTTTTCTAGTGGCTTATGACCGCTGGTGGTGCTGGCCAAAGAGGGAGAAAAATTTCCCTCTCCTTCCCCTAATTGCTACCCCATAACCACCCTTATTACCGGCTATGACATTCTTTTTTTTTGAGTGTTAAAAATGATCCTGTTAGGAACCTATTTTACTGAGCAAGTTCCTTTTCAACACGTATTATTACATGGTCTAATTCGGGATAAAGATGGGAAAAAAATGTCTAAATCATTAGGTAACGGAGTTGAACCAGACGAATTAATAGCAAAATATGGTTGTGATAGTTTACGGCTTTTTTTGTTAGAAAATAATATTTGAGGTTCGGATTTAATTTATAATGAGGAAAAGGTAATTGGGAGTTGACGTTTTTGTCAAAAACTTTGGAGTATTGGCAATTTAATAACTAATAAAATACCTACTACTGAATTAAGAAAAATTAACAAAGAGAACCTGAAACTATAAAATTATGACTAACAACCAAGTTAACATCAATCAAGAATTTACCTGTGTTATTTATTTTAACTAAAAAATATATCGAAATAGTTTACAAAAAGGAATTCTCGGATTGAGAACAAAGAAAGCAAATTAAAACAGCGGAAAAATCTCCCCTTTCTGAAAATTTTCTAGCAAAAGTTTATTGGAACTAACCCCTTTTTAGTAATTACTAGTTACCATTTTTGTTCAAAGCAACCAATAACTACTTGACAGGTAATTAGCATTTTTTAACACCTTTTACTTACTGATTGTTTTACAATAGACAACTACTATATATAAATCAAATGCAAACTAGAGTATTATTTACTTTATTTTCGCCTTTCTCCTATTCCACTCTTTTAGAAATTTACCTTTATTCTTTTCAACAATTCTTTCAGTCTCATTTTGTTCCTCCTCCGAAACTTAACCTTTAATTTTCTTAACCTTTATTTTGTCTTTTGATTTAGTGTCCGTTTTCTCTAACCAAAACTCTATTTCTCCACGAGAAGTTTCAATATGAATATGGGCGGGTTTGTTCTTAGTTATATCATTAACTTTGAAATAGCACCAATAGCCATTAATCTTTCAAGTTGGCATAAACTATTTGCACGGAGCATCAAAACCATGAATAAAAACTTCTATCCCTAGCACTTCATCTATTTCAGAAAAATAAATGTTTTCCCCTCTTTTTATCTCATATTTTCTTAACTTTTCAGCATTAACTCCCTTTACTCCTCACTTAGCAAATCAATCTATTGGAATACTTAATTCCCGACCATCACTTAACTGAGCGGTTAATCTTTCTAAATGAACGGCAAGGTTAAGTATTTTGACTTCTTTTTGGGAAGATTGTTTTAATCTTTCTTTGATTTTAGGGAAAATAGGTCGCTTTATTTCTCTTTGTTGTATTCTAGTCCTCATATTAACTTATTTTAAACAATAATTTCCCTAGTTTGGGGAGAATATAAACCAACTACTTTGTGATAAGTTTTAAAATCTTGTTCATTCTCAATAAAGTTTAAAATTTCTATCCTCTAACTTTTTTATGGTAATGTTTTTTAAATTTAAGTTTGGCGTAGTCCAGAAATTGGTCACTTTAATGCCAAAAAAATCTCTTTCTGATCTAGATTTTGTCAATAACCTAATTCCAGGAAGATTAACTTTTTTAGATCTTGGCAATATTGTTTTGGTTTATAAAATACTTAATGACATTAATATTACTCTACCAATAATTAATGTCAGTAAACTATAACTCCATTTTACTGTCCAACTGTCTTTTTCAATTCGACATAAAAATTCAAACATCCTTCACAAAAAGCAACTTTTTCTTGAATAAGCACTCAAAAAACTTCAACTATAACGGCAAAACCATTCTTCCTTCTTACTCATTAAAATTTAAAATTAAAGAAGAGTTTTTTTTAAAAAATGCCATCCAAACTTAAATTAATTTTTGTAAAAATTGGATCTCCAAAGAGAGAGAAAGAGAAAGAAGATAAATAATGTATTCAATGTATTTTTCCATAAATTCTCAATCAGGTTCATCTTTATCTCCATCATTTCTTTGAACAACTGGCAACTTCACTTTTAGTCCTTTGATATTGTTGTCGTCTAATTGGCGAGCACCGTACTTTCACTTTCCTTCTTGAATGTTAGTCAATAAAGCACTAATGAATAAACCTCTTTTTTCGTTAAGTAATTCGCTTCTTAGACATCAAACATTGCCTGCTTCAGCATAACTTCGATAAAAGTCAATAGGTTGTCAGAAAAATCCACCAAAACTGCTAAAGGAGATGCAGTTTCCTTTGGTTATTGGCTTTTTAAATTTTTCTGTTTCGGGAAGTAAAGAATCGACATAAAGAACACAACCATTATTTACTTTACTAGTGGAAATCAGGGGGAAGTATTTTTCATTTTTACGAAAAATTTTCTCTTTTTTTTCTTTTTTTGTATGGAAATTTGTTAAATTAGCTTCTTCTAATTCAAATAAACCTTCAACTTTGGTTTCCCTTTCACCATTATTATCCTTTTCCTTTTTAGTATAACTCACCAACGAAAATTCTTTCCACCCTTTAATTGTTTTTTCTTTTTCTAAGGAAAAGGAGGCAGGAGGATTTTTTTCTAATTTCTCAACTATTTTTGATAAATAAACTTCAGAGTTAGAAAGCGGAGAGGAAATTTCCATAATATAACCTAGGTAATCTTTCATACTAGCAATAAATTTCCCTTCAGATAGCTCATTGTAATCAAGAGTAATTGAGTCATTGCTGGTATTTAAATAAACTTCAGGTAATCAAGGCTTTTCATCATCTAATGTTTCTCAAACAGAAATATTTGAAACTACTTTTTTTCGATACATTTCTCTTCATTCATTTTTCTTAATTTCCCATGAACTCTTTATTCTTTCTTTTTTTTCCTTTTGATTTTCTTTCTTTCTCTCTTCATTCTCTTTATTTCATTCCTCAATCTCTGATTCTATTTTTTGTATTTTTTCTGTTTCTCCTTTCTCTTTTAATTTTTCAATTTCATCTTCTAAATCTTTTACAGTGTATTTAACTTCTTTTTCTATTCTTTTTCCTCTTGTAAACTCAAATCCATCGTCCGACCAATTGGCTAACCAAGTTTGGCCATTATGTTTTTTCTTAGCCTCTCAAACCATGATACAGGTAGCAATCCCCCCTTTATTATTTCTTCTAAATAAATCAGAAGGCATAGTCATTACTGCTTCTAAAGTATGTTCTTCCATTAATTTTTTTCGTCAATCCTTTTGTTTAGTTCCCCGAGCAAGTTTCAAAGGAACAATTACTGCCATTCTTCCTCCCTTTTCTAGTAATTCCAAATGGTGTAAAATAAATTTTCCCTCAGGATATTTTGTTTGCGAGTAGGGAGGATTTAAAAAACCAACTTTAAAGTCAGTTCCTCCATTCTCTTTTAATTTTTCTAAATTTTCTTTTTTAAAGCAACTACCTTGTATGATGTTAGATTTGCCATCGCCTCGTAAAATCATGTTAGTTAAAGCCAAACGATAAATTTTTTTCTGTTTTTCTATGCCAAAGAGATTTTTTTTAGCTTCTTCCAAAGTTTTGGGTGAAGCATTTTCAGACATTTTACTCAAAGCCACTACCAAGAAAGTTCCTGTTCCACAGCAAATATCCAAAACTTTGTCAGTTGGTTTTAAAACTACTAACTCAGTGAATATTTCAGCAATATGGGAAGGAGTTAGAAGAATTCCTAATCCTTCATCATTTCCAGAATATCTTAAAAATTCATGGTAAAATTCTCCAATAACATCAAAGTTAGAAGAAAAATGAATTAAAGGAAAAATATCTCTTTGTAAAACTTTCAAAACTGAACTAAGTCGGTCTTCTTTTTTAGCATCTTCGTCTGTTAATGAATCATTTTCTAATGCCTCCTTTAATTCATTAACTAGGTGTTGATATTTCTCTCCTTCAATCTCTCTTTCCAAAGCACTTTTTAAATGTTTAAGAGTTTCTGTTTCTGAATCAAATTCATTTTTCAGCAAACTAGAGTGAAAAATCTTGTCTTTCAAAGCAATTAAACACCCTGAAATAAAAAAAGGTTTGTCATCTTGATCAAAACTCATATTTCTTAAGTTGTTATGTAAGTTTTCTGCCACTTTCAAAACCTTTTTAACAATTTCTCTATTAGGTTTTCTTTCTAATCGTTCAAAATATTTGTCCCAAGGTAAAATTTCTTTCTCTTTCTTTCCTAATGGTTCATAAATCGGCTGTTGTTTTCTTCAAATTCCAAAAGTAATCTTTAAATCTTTTACTTTCTGACCAGTTATTGCTAAAAAAATAACAGTAAAACTTTCTTTGAAATACTTGGAGTAATACAACGCTCCATCAACATTATAACTACGTGGTTCATCGAATTTTTTTGATTCATGTTTATTACTTTTTAATTTAAGTTCAACAATTAGAATCTTGTCTTTCAACCTAATTATGTATTCAGGCCGACCTTGACTTATCCCTTTATGGTGTTCTCCCTTAAAACAACCTAAATCACATTTTTCAGGCTTTCCGCCACACCTTTCCAGAATTTTCTTTGTTTTTGGGTTACTGTCAGAATGACCTTGTTGGATAAATTCAAATTCTCTTTGCTTTTTTGTAGGATCAATTTCTAAGGCTTTTAGGACAAAACCTTTCATTTCTTCTTCGCTTTCAAAATTTTCTAAGTTTGACATAGTTACTTTTAAATTACTTTTCTTTTTCTTATACTCTTTCATGCTCTGCTTTGCTAACTCATTATAAAGTCTGCTTAACAAAAGAGAATTAACCCGTTGGTCTTCCTCTGATTGCAATTTGCCCGTCTCCAAACTTTTTAATCAGTTAAATAAGGCAATTTTCTTTTCGTAAGCAGTTTTATTACTTTTCAAAATCTTACCCATTTTTTCAGCATGTTTAAATTCTTCTTCCTCTGTCATCTCTGAAGAACTTTTGCCACAGTGAGGGCATTAGGTTATTTTTTTTTTTGTCAATACTATATTTTAATTTTATTGCTTTATAGTCTAGTAAAGTTACTCCCAAAAGCATTTACTTAATTTTTACCATCATTTATATTTTGTAAATATAAAACATTTTATATGGAGTATCTTGCTAAAATCTTTCAAAAATATAAATCAAAAGAATAGTTAACTCTGAAAATATGAATTTCTAGATGCTGAAGTCAATAAGTAAGGTTCAACAAAATGCTTGTTAACATTTAATTACTTTGATAGAAAAGATGATAAAAACAAATTATAATTTACTGACATTAATTATTGGTAGAGTAATATTTAAAAAATGCTATAAAATTAGAGTTAACAAACTAGGGGAGTCTAAAATCCCCCTAATAATTTCAGTCCGAATCGCAATTATTAGTTTTTTTGCGGAAAAATTTTACTTTCTTGTCCCTCTATTTCTAGTTGTTTTTTTCTTTTTGCTATAATTACCACTCTTCACTATCAAAAGCAATCTTTCAAGCCTTTTTTACTTTTTCCATTGTTTCTCTACTGGCTACTCCTAAATGTTTTTCTAACCTTAACTTTTTAAAAACAGTAAAAGGATGGTTAAGAACTATTTTGCTAGGTTCAACTAGGCCAGTTTCCAGAGCATTAGCAATAAAAACTTCGAATAACCGAATATTTTCTAGGTCATCAGTAGTCATCATGGCTACTACGATAAAATTATCAAACTCATTTTGTTCATTACTACTAATTACTAAACCAGGTCGGTAATCTTTGGAAAATCCTTTAATTTTATCACATTTTATTAATCAGATTTCTTCTCGCTTGGGAATCTTATTTTTATCTCTCTTATCTAGTGGTTTACTCATCTTTTAAATCCTCAAATTGGATTCCTTCCATGGCTTTTAATTCCTTTTGAAGTTTTTTACTTTTGGCTTGGGCTTGATATTCTTTAACGAGTTGCTGTCTTAACTGCTCTTTTTGGTTTTGTTCCTCTTTGGTTAGTTTTTCCTCCACTGCTTCACTCACAAAGCGACTAATTTTGGTTCCCGCTATTTGACAAAGTTTGTTGTAAGTTGCTTCCGGAAAATAGATATTTGCATTGCGTCCTGCCATAATATTATATTTTAATAATTGCTTAACTAGGCAATTACTTCCTATGTTTACTATAACACTTCAAAACCTTTTCCAAGACCTCATTATAATGTTTCCTTTCCTCATAAGCAATAACTTTTAGCTATTCTATCCATTCTTTTTTAACTCGGGCAGCGAATAAATGAACCCTTGTGGTTTTTCTTAAACTTCTTTTGTCAAGATTTAAAGACTGAATATTGTCACTAACTTCATTAATGGGAGTTGAGCCTCAATTTTTTTTAGTCTTTTTAACTTTTTCTTCTTTTTTGTCCTCAAAGACCACACAATTAGAGTAGTAAGTAATAATCATTTAAGTCAGTAATTCCATCTTTAAACCAAAACACTAATTTTATATTTCTTACCACCAACCGGAATTCTCTTTGGGACAAAATGGCCTCTTTTTCAATTCGGGTTTTTCTTGGGTTTTGGTTCAGCATCTTTTCGTTTAATTTTCTTTGAAAATACTTAAAAAGAAAAAACAAGGATACAATTAAAAAACCAAAAAAAATAGTTTAATTGGTAATGATAGAAAAATCAGAAGAAAGAAACTTAATTAACCGGTGAATTTTAAATGAATTGGCTATTTTACAAAAAGATTATTTCACTCATTTAGAAAAAAAAGAAACTAATTTTGCCACTACTAAACTCATTAAATTCACCCGGGAAAGGTTAAGCAATGAATATTTGGAGTTAATAAAAATTTCCGCTTGGGACACTAACACTAAAAACACTCTGCTTTTTGTTTATCAACAATTATTAATTATGCTCCATCCGGCTACTCCTTTTATTACTGAACATATCTATCAAGGGTTAACCCAAAAAAAGGTATTAGAGTCCAAAATTGAGGTTATTAAAGTAGAGGATAAAAATAAAGAACTCTGGCCAATTGATTGCCTGCTACTTTTAATAAGTAAAATTCGTAATTTTCAGCAAAAAAGTAAAGTTAATGAATTTTATTTAGAATTAGTTTCGGAGTGAGAAAATAAGTTAAACCCTTACTTTGATTTTAACCAATATCTAGAACCATTAGTAAAAAGTAAAGTTTCTATTTTAAAAAAACCAAAAAAAGGTGAATTTAGTTCTTTTCTTGATTTGCAACCTTTTGGAGTTTTATGATATCATGAAAAAATTGATAAAAAAGCATTAGAAAAACAATTAAAATTGTATGAAGTAGAATGCCAAAGAAGCCAGCAATTATTAGCCAACTGTAATTTTCTCCAAAAAGCACCTCCTCCATTGATAGCAGAGGAAAAAAGGAAACTTATTTACTACCAAACCCAAAAACAAAAATTACAAACTGAATTAGAAAAGTCTGTAAAATAATAGTTAATATTTATTAATTTTGAATATTGTTAATATATAAGTATGAACACTCTAAAATATCCCGGTCAACCCGACAATGAAATCTGATTTTATGATAAGGATAAACCTTATTATCAATTAACTAATTTTTATGCTAGTCCAATAGAATGCGAATTACCAATTGAAGTCATTGACAGCGGTCGACGTTATATGCCTTTGGATGAAAAAGGAAATTTATCCACTAGTCATAAACATTTTTACAATGCCGAACCTGGTTTGTTGATGATGGATAATATAAATAAAAAAAAATGAGAAGGATTGGCAAAAAAAGAAAAAGCAGAAAAATTTAAATGGCACACCTCAGAACACCTTTACCAAGCTTTCAAATTAACTGACTGAAATAAATATATAAAGTGTAATTTTAAGATAAAAAATGGCGTAGCTTTTCATTCCAGGGGAACGATGGTCGAAATTCTAGACAGTATTAATCCACTGGCAATGGGAATAAATACAATTAGGGAAGTTCCTAATCCCGGAGAAGTCCGTAATTTTGTCAATGAGCATTTTAAACCAGGACATGGTTTAAGAGGAGATTGGTTTTTTGAAGGAAATGGAATGAATCCAGTTGTTCCAATGCGATTAAGAGCCATGCATTTTGCGGTGCGGGAAAAGTTTAACCAAAATCCAAAATTGAAAAAATTGCTTTGAGAAACCAAAAATAAAAACTTGGTCGAGCATTCCCCAGATAAATTTTGAGGAGATAGTGTTGATGGCAAAGGTGAAAATTGATTAGGGAGAATTCTCATGAAAATTCGACTCGAAATACAATTTTCCGCCAACAGGAAAGAATGAAATCCTTCTGAAATAGAAGCGGAGTCGCCGGAGCCAAATTCAACTAACCAAAAGGATACTGAACATGAAGCCAAAAAAACCCTCATTGAAAACAATATCTCAGAAATCAAAAACAAATTATCCAGTGCTAACATTAGCACCAAACAAGTAATCCAAATCTTAGGTAATAGTTGAGAAACTAACTATCAAATGAGTTGGACAAGAAATTCCGAAGTAGAAATTGAAAATCATAAAAACAGTCTTTTAGCAAAAATCAACCAGTTCATTACTAACAACCCCAATAATGGCATAAATAACAATAATGAATCAGATAACAATAATAACCAGAATCAAAACCGAGAAAATCAAGGAACTAACGAACCAAATACACCACCCCCTCCACCCGCACCTACTAACTCTCTGGAACCACCCGTACCCACTTCTGAACAAATCAATCAGACCGAAGAAAAATTAGACCAAGCCCAAGCAAATAATGTTAATGAAGAAGAATTAATTAGAATTATCAAACAAACCTCCGAGACCGTTAAACACAGTGGAGATGAAAACTTAAAAAAGAAAAAAGAGGAAGTTGAAAAAAAGTTAAGTAAAGATAAATTAAGAGAACTCATTCGGGAGGAAATTCACCAAGAGTTAGTTGAAAACAGATTAAAACCCGAGGAACTATCTCCAACTGTTAAACAAAAACTCGACGAATTGAATAATGATAATAGTCAAGTCATTCGAACTGAAATCTTCAATGAGGTTGGTAAACAAGTTCTCTCCAAATTAATTACTGCACTTCAATCCGCCTTAAAACTCTCTAAAAAAAAGGAACTACAAAATAAAGTTAAAGAATTACAACAATTCATTAACAGCAAAATTGATTACAAACAAAATGCTTATAAAAAAGAAAAGAATAAAGTTGATCAGTTATTAGTCCAAGCCCGTAACCAGTCCGATCAAAACCAAACCCCAGTAGGTTTTTTTCGTACCAATAATCCCTTCCTGTGATTATCTAGTATCTTGGTAATTGGTTTGGTAGTCTTTTCCACCTTGATAGTGGTTCGTACTCGCCGAAAAAAGCAAAGATAATTTTATCAATAATTTATCCACAAAAAAGTAATTAATTAAAACTTATCAATAATAAAAACTATGGAAACCGAATCGGTCGAAAATATTAAAAAGAAAATTGCTGAAAAAGAGGAACAAATAAGAGAAATTTGGGAGGAAATAAGAACTGAAAAGGAAAGACCGCGGGAAGAAATTGTGGAAGAATTAAAGGGAATTAAACGCACTACTGGCCAACATCCGGGTGGTCTTTTAATTACCTTGCCCAATACCGATATTCAAAAGTATACTCCTTTAAATTATCCGGCTGATAATCGTCAATCAGAATGAATGACTACTCATTTTGAATATAGTTTCTTATCGGAAATATTTCTCAAAGTTGACATTTTAGGACATGACGAACCTACGGTCTTGCAAAAATTGTTCCAACTGACTGGAGTTGACCCAACTAAAATAGCTTTTCATGATAAAAATATAATGCAACTGTTTACTAGTGCTGATACTTTAGGAATCCCAGAATTTGGCACTGATTTTGTTAAAAGGAATTTATTGACCCCCTTAAAACCGACTAAATTCTCCCAATTAGTACAAATTTCAGGTTTCTCCCACGGAACCAACGTTTGAACCCAAAACCAACACACTATTTACAAAAATGGACAATTATCGTTAAGTGAATTAATTGCTTGTCGAGAAGATATTTGAAATTTCTTAGTTTCTTGAGGGGTAGATAATAAAAATGCTTTTATTGCTACTGAATTTATTCGAAAAGGTAAATGAGAGAAATTGCCCGAAAATATTAAGGAGGAAATGAAAAGTAAATTAAAAGATAAAGAAGGAGAGTTATACTTTTCTATTCTAAGTAAAATTAAGTACATTTTTCCAAAACCACATGCGATTGCTTATACCATGACTGCGTGGCGCACTGCTTTTTATAAAGTATACCACCCCCAAGAATTTTATTCGGTTCTTTTAACTTATCATACCGCAGTTTATGACATCTGATTAATGACTTTAGATCCGACCGCCATTACTTTCCGCTTAGACAAATTATTAGGTAGTTTAGACAGTTATAAAAACAGCGAAAAGGAATTATTATCAATTATTAAAGTTTTTGAGGAACTAAATAAAGAAAAAAGGAGGATGGAAAAAACCAGCCAGAGCGAAGAATTTTTAGGAAGTGCCTTAAAAAAAATGGATATCGACAAAATTTTAGCAAGTATTCAAGAAAAAATAAATAATTCGGGAGATAAAAAACTGCTAGATAGTTTTCGAAAAAATGGTAAAACTTGAAAATTAACCGCTAAAGAAAAGCATTTATTATTCACTTTAAAAGTAGTGTTAGAAATGGAAATGAAAGGCTTGAAATTTGCCCGAGGTTTAGACTTCAATAACTCTGAAATTAAAGATTTTAAAATTGAGAATAATACCATTTACTTTCCCTTTACCGCAATTGCAGGAATTGGGGAAAAATTGGCGGACAAAATTATTGCCTACCGGCAAGAGAAGGGTCAAATTACTAGCCACTGAAAGGAGGAATTGAAGGAAGTTCTAAACATTAACCACCTTCAACAATTAGAGAATTTAGAAAAACATAATTTAATAATTAATTTAGTTTAAAATTGTTACAAATAACTTGCTTCCGTAATTCTTTTAGTAAATAACCTTGCTGATCAAAAAAAACTCCTTCTTTGGACAATAATTTTCGTTTAGCAATAACCTTTGCTCCTTCTCCTCATTCACCATAATATCCTCCGATGAAAAAATTAGTAGCAATCACTCGGTGGCAGGGAACTTCGGTTGATGAAAAAGGGTTATTTTTGAGAATTTTACCAACTTCTCGTGGAGAAATATGCAAAAATTCGGCAATGTATTTATAAGTTGAAACCTGACCTCGGGGTATTTGAGAACAACAATTATAAACTTGCTGGGATAAATTATTAATTAGAGAATTTGACATCATTCTATATTAGTAATTCATAATTGTTATTTAACTTAAAAGGTTTTTTCTACTTTTCTACAATGGCAATTAAAAGAAAGTTAAAGGAGCGGAAACTAAAACTTGCTTAATTCCCGCTCCAAAAGTAGTTATTGAAAGCACATAATACTAACTATACCAACTTTAATAATCTCTTTTCTTATTCTTGCTGTAAACCACTGCTCCAATCACAAAGGCTAAAATTAGACCAACTGCCACAATGGCCACTATTATTCCACCATTGCCACCATTTGGCTGTTTATTTCCTCCTTGCTCATTATAGCCGCTAACCATTTTCTCCAATTCGCTGCGATCAATTGATTTCTTTCCAGAAGTGCCTTGCAGATAATTTTTGACCATTCTCTGCTCGGAATTCAACTCGCTTTCCTCCATTATCTTCGTTTTTTTACCACTGAATTCGACCACTAATTTATCACTACTTAAAGTAATATTAACTACTCCTCCCTTTTTCATTCAGGTCAGAAGGTTATTTAACACTTCATTAGCATTCTCGTTGTGGTTTTTTAAATAGTCTTTAATTTCTTGCAGTTCTTTTTTTATTTCCTTCGCATCATCTTTATCGACTCCCTTATTTTCACCTTTCAATGCCTTTTTACAATCAGAAGAGCAACATTTCTTGCTTCCAACTCTATGAGTCGTATATTCTTCTTTTTTTACTCCACAATTAGCACAAGTATATTCATACTCTAATTTACTTATCACATCTCATAAATCAGACCGGCGGGAAAGGGCTTCATGAAAGTTACTTGCTCCATTAATTTTTTCTTTTCAATCGCTTACTCCCAACCTTTTACTTAATCTTTCTTGTGAAATATTTTTCTTAATCAGATCCATTTCAATATCACCAATAAATTTTTTCTTCCAATCAGCATCATCATTATTTGTCGGTGCTGGGCTGTCAACTCGTTTAATTTCTTCTTTTTCTTTCTCTTTGCTTCTTTTTCTTTGTTCATCTTTTGTTTTATTTAATCTGTCAATCGTATCCTGGCTGGTGTCTTGGTTTTTGCTGGTTTCCTTAGAAAGATTTTTAAGTTCCTTTTGGTTTTTTTCTTCCTGCTCTTTTAACTTTTTTAAATTTTCTTTCTCAGTTTTGGCTAGTTCTTCATCATTTTTCTTTTCTATTATTTTCACTTTTGCTTCAATTAAGGCATCGCAAAAATTTTTATATCATTGCACCACTTCATCCATACTTTTCAAATCATAAATTTTGTTAATATAGGTAAAAGGACTGTATTCGATTTTCCCTATTTCTTTGAGCGTTTCCTCAGTTTCATAATATTTAAAATCATGATCCCGAAAAAAATCTCCACATTTTCCAACTGCATCATTTTGTAAACTAAGTAAATTGTAATTTATATTCATATTTTTATTAAATAATTTATTTTATTGCAGAGAGAGAGAGAGAGAGAGAGAGAGAGAGCATTTATATCTCTTTCACCTACTACTCACTATCACTCACTCTTCCTACTCCCTATATTAATTTTATAAAGTTTTTGGTTGAGGGGGTGTATTTTTATAAATTTATTATTTTGTTATAGTATAGTAAAATTTTATAACTCACCTAACTTTAAATATTTTTGGACTATTTTTTGTATCATGTTTTTTTGTCATCAAATTGGCACTTCTTTGATTGCTACTAATCCTTTACCACTCCCAGCACTTTCTTTTTGGCAACCAAAGATAAATCTTTATTCCTTAACTTTTCTACTAAATAACCAACCACATACTCTGGAGCAGTTTTTAACTCGATGTCCTGATTATTTTCTAACTCCTTTAGTAAATTAGTAATAATCACTCATTCTTCGGTATCCCGATATTGTTGATAAGGAATTTTGGCCTTGTCTTTGGTTTCTTTAACTTTTATAGTTAACTCTTTTTTTCAATTGTTAATTAAATTATCTAACTTTTTTTTTTTAATTGAGTCCTTTTCTTGACTTATTTGCTGAAAAAGTTGAGAAATTATCCCCCCCTCTTCCAAATACTTTTTTTTTATTGTTTCTATTTCGAAAAAATTTTCAACTTCTTTTAAGGATTTTTCAGTCAAAAATTTGATTTGTTTTTCGCTGATATTTTGCTTGATGTTTTTTGACATTGGGCTAGTCCATGCTGTCACCAGACTTACCTCTTATTCAAAAATTAATTCATTTTTAAGGTCTTTTGTTTTTATTTTTCTTTCCATGGGGTCAAATTTGCCTACCATCAAAATCTATCTCTTTATTTTTTTTACCTTTTCTATCCATAACATCTCAATGATCGCCGTGTAATTTATCTTTTTTTCAAATAGTATCATCATGAGTATTTTTTCAACCTTGGTTACCTTTTAGTTTTATTCAATAGTTTCCTAATCCGGGAATCTCATTCATCTATATATTATGTTTTATATCAAATCTATATCATTAATCTCTACAAGTTCAATTTCTCCGTTTCAATGGTAAAAACTTTTCCGTTTAAATAAGCCAGGGGCGAGGGTAAATTATTGAACCCTATTTTATAGGCTAACAAACAAATCTTATTTTTATTTTCTATTTGGCTGCCATACTTTTTATCACCAACCACCGGACAGCCTAAATAAGCTAAAATACTCCTAATTTGATGCTTGCGACCAGTATGCAAGGTAATTTCTAAGGTTTGATAAGGGGTTTTTTTAGCAACCTGCTTTATTTCTAAGGCACAAAACTTGGCTTGGGGGTTAGATGAGCGGAGGGAAAATTCCATTTTTTGGGCGAGGCTGTTCTTTCATAAATAACCGCTAACATAATTAGGTAGTATTTGGTGAGTAGTTTCGCATTTTGCTAAATATTTTTTAGTTATTTGGCTTTTGTCAGCCATTGCCTTATATAAAACTTTTTTAGCGGGCGGATTTTTAGGATAAATCACCAAGCCTTTAGTTAACTTGTCCAGTCGGTGAGCGGCAATCAAGACAAAAAAATTAGCAATTTGGTGCTGATATTCCACCGGGTTTTTTTCCGATAAATAATTTCTGACCGCATTGTCTAAACTAGGCATGGTTATTCCGTGCTCTTTGAGAGCAATTAAAATATGTTGGTCTTCATAAACCACTTCAAAATATAACTTAGAATGAGAAAGAGGATAAATGACTTGATTAGACAATTGGAGATAATTGTCGTGGATTTCAATTTTTTCTCCTCCTTTTAAACGGTGGTGATAATAACGAATATTCTCTCCATCAATTTTTACCTTTTTGGTTCGGAATAATTTATAAATTAGACTTAACGGGGTAGTTCTAAACCTTTTTTTAAGAAAACTAATCAGAGTTTGGTCGACTTCTTCCTTTTGAATAGTAAAATTAATCATTAAAATAGCATTTTTGACAAAGTTATAAAAAATTGATATCTACAATTACCTACCAATTAGACTGAATTGAATTTTTTTAAATCCTTGGTAATATTTATTAACCAGGAATTATCGTCTGCCACCTTCATTTTACTGAATATCGCTTTTCTCTACTTCCTAACCGAAAATATTAACTTTACTAACACTGGCTAATAGTGCCATTTTCAAGCAGAATATTTTCGGTTTAAAGAACGAGAGAAAAGGAGGGCGGATTAAATTTCCGCCCTCACTAACTTTCAACCAACTTTTGTTTATCAACTAAACTTTCAACTAACTTTTGTTTATCAACTACTCTTTAATAGGAAAATTATTCACTTTCGCTTTCCCCTTCACCTTCTTCACTACTGTTGGATTTAATTAGTCAAGCAATTCCTCCTAACACCGCAATCACACCAACAATAATTACCATGATACCTAACGGAGTTTTAAAGAAAGGTTTATCACCGTTAGTATCAGTATTTGTTGTAGTACCATGGGTTTTGGCTAATTCATCAACTTGGGCTTTAACTTCTGTTAACAAGCCATCAAAAGCCGTTTTATCCTCCGGAAGTAGTTTTCCATATTCAGAACTTTTTTTAAAACCTTCCATTTTTTCAAAATTTCCTTTCAACTTTTCGTAATCATCTTTAGTAGTAAAGGTACTTTTAATATCAGGTTTCTTAAGCAATTCCTGTAAGATTGGAACTAAATCTTTTGCTTCTTGTTGAGTTTTTTCTACTAAGGCACCTAATAATAGGGTTCAAGGATTTGTTTTTTCATCGTATAACTTTTTGTTACTAGGGTCTAATGCTTCGTAGTCATCAGTAAGTTTGAAAGCATCAGTTTTAGTTTTGGCATCGTTTCTACTGGTCACTTTATCAAGTTTGGCCTTTTCAATGGCTGTGGTCAACTCTACATTTAACTTTGCACCATGGTTTTTAGCATGAGTTATATAACCAACTCCGTTAACTTTTAGATTAGTATCTATGGCGGTTACTGAAGCCTCTTTGCCTTTGAGTTCATCAGTGAAAGCCTTTAAACCAGTACGAGCGTCTGCTTTAGACTTGAGTAAAAATGCTTGGGCTTTTTTAATAATTTCGGTTACTTCTTTTATAAAAGTAATATCTTCATTCTTGTCCTTAGTTATCTTGTTGTAAACTTCATTATCGGCGTCTGCTTTACCAAGCACCTCCGCGATCACCCCTTTTAAGGCAATTTGGGCTTTTTCTAATTTTTGGGCTGGGGTTTCATCACCTGTCTTTTTAGCAAGTCCTAAAGCAGTCTCACCTAATTTCTTGCCATTTTTATCTTTTATCCGGTCATTATCAACCATCGATCACATTTTTTTTCGATCTTCACCATCCGCAGCTTTCGAATAAACCTCTAATTTAGACTTTTCTAAGTTGTCGCCATCGGTGTAGGCTTTATCAATTAATTTCACTAATTCCACTAAGTCATCCAAAAATGTTTTAGGGTGATTTTTTAATTCGGTTTGATTAGCAGTATCATCAAAAATTGCTTTCAATTTATTTTTAAAGTCATCATCTTTGGAAGTTAAAGTCAATCCATCCCGTGCCGCATTAATTTCGGTTTCCGTTACATTGGTTTCTGGAGCTTTGGTTGGAGCTGTTTTTCCAATTGCGGCAGTAATTTCTGAAAGTTTTTTATCAATCAATGGGGTTCAAAAAGAATTTCTATTTATAAATTTATCACCACTCGTAGCATCACGGAATTCTTCCAATTGTTTATAGGTACTTAGTAATTCAGTCTTTTTACTATCATCATAAGTTGAATAATCTACATCATATAAAGTTAAGAAGTTTTTCATGCTAGTATAAGCAGCAAAAACTTCCCCTCGTTCATCATCCGTCGTACCTACAGCTGAATAATCAAAACCACCGGTTCAAGCTACATCTTGAACAGCAATAAACAATAAATCTAATACACTTTTCTTGGTACCAATTGCCGTATCAAAATCAGTTGCAAAAAAGTTATTAACTGCAGCAGTTTTATTAGCAGTACTTCCTACAACATCATAAATACATTTAGTAAATTGAAGGTTATTATTTTTATAATCAGTAGCGGTGTCCGAACCAGCAATTTTCTTTCCATCTAATCGACCCTTAATTATCTCACCTTTATTCATAATATTTTTTGTATTATAAGTTGCATCAGTGGCATCTTTGTCATTGGTTGCTGGAGCAACAGGTGTTAAATTATTAGCATAAGCGACTGAGAAACCACGGAAGTCCTCTTTATTGGATTTGCTTGTGTCGTAGAATACTTGGCGAAAAGTGTCAATGTCATCTTTTTTATATCTACCATCAATAGAAGGCTTAAATGCCTTTTTGAACAAAACCTCATTTACATTGGTTCTCGTACTTAATAAAGTAGGAGTGTTGTGTGAAATCGCCCCTCTTTCCCCGGCATTTTTTTCAACTTGGTTGCTATCTATAATATCAAAACCTCGGTATTTTTTACCACTAAGAACTTTTTTAATAGCCGCTTTATTATCACCATTTGTTAAATCACCTGACTTAGTATTATCACGAGTTCCGACGAATTCACTATCTCAACTTCCTCCGGTTTTTGAACCAATTGTTTCATCAGTAGTAGATTCGTTTACACCATCCTTACGCTTTCTTATAGTAAATCCATTAGCATTGGCTTTTAATACCTCATCAAGAGTTGTGAAACCAAGTTCTTCATTTCAAAATACTAATTCTTCTAACTCTTCAATTCGGTTGTCAATTAACGTTTTGTAATCTTTATTCACTCCATCAGTGGCTAATCAATAAAGAGTTTGTGCAATTTTAATATCTTCATTAGCATTTGTCGATACTGTATTAATTATTGTAGGAGCAGTATTTAAATTTGTGAAATCTTTTAATCACATAATTTCATTTTTGATATCAGGCTTTGTCAAATCTTGAAAACTATCATAACCTTCTTGTAATGTAATTTCTAAAACCGATAATTTTTTTTTCCACTTAGAAAGGTCATTAGCAGCATTATCGTTACTTAATTTAAAAGGTTGAGTATCAACCACATCCTCTACATTAATTATTATTTTCTCAAAAGTAATTTGATTACCAAGATAAAGTTTGATATTCCCTTTTGACCATGCAATACCATTAATGCCATCAGGTAGTTTTAAACTAGTAGCGACAGTATCATTTACCTCTTTTATTATTATATTTCAATCCGCTTTTTCATCATTAGCCAAACCTTTAATTACATCTTTTAATTTTATCAAGCTCACAATTCCCCGAACATCCTTGGTGGGAACTTCAAAAAGAACACGTCCAGCACCCGTAACATTTTGACCACCTAATTGAGCAACATCCGCATTACCAGCAGCCTCTGAAATTGCAACAATATTAGTATCCTTTGTTAACTGTATAAGACTATTACCAACTTTGGGTTCGTGATTAGCATTACCCGAAAGATGTACCACAACTGCATTAATTTTTAATTTTATTCTATCTATTGCCATATGTATATATTTATTGTTATTTTAATTTATTTTAATTTATTTTAATTTATTTTAATTTATTTTAATTTATTTTAATTTATTTTAACTCATGTTTTAATTTGATAGGCATAACATTATATAATATTTTACTATTTTAGTTCAGAGGAGGAAGGCAAAATTCCTAAATTTTAACCTTTTTAGCACTGGTAAACCTCCAACTCCTAACTCCTATAAAAACCCTCTAATTTAATTTATTAAGGTCAAATCATTCTTAATTAATCCTCTAAATTCTGATCGCATATTTTTTCAATTAACTAATTCCGCCAAAAAAGGTAAATCGCTTGCTTTAAATTCTTCCTCAATTTGAAGTGCCAAAGCATCCGGAATCTCTTCTAAATAACAAAGATCAAGGTCTGACAATCGGCGGGCAGTTCCTTTGGCTCGGGAACCATAAATATAATATTTATAAGGGTATTTGGAAAAAATCAATTGAATTATTTGGTAGTGGCGGGGTTCGAGTTGTAACATTCAGGTATTTCTACTAAATTTTTAACACATTCCAACAAGAAGTCTCCTATCCTCAAATTCTTACAGCGAAGAATTAGGTAGGGGATGAATTGCCTATAACTTTCATTTGGTCTTAAAATATATTATATGAAGTTAGACAGTAATAATCATTCGGTTTTCCTCTTATGGTATCATTTGGTATTAGTAGTTAAATATCGGAGGAAAGTAATAGATGATGCTAGGTCAAATCGATTAAAGGAAATATTCGAAAAAATTGCTCCTAATTATCGTATCTCTCTCCAAGAGTGAAACCATGATATAGACCATATTCACTGCTTATTCAAAGCTCATCCCAATAGTGAGTTAAGTAAGTTTTTGAATGCCTACAAAACTGCTTCCTCTCGTTTGATAAAGAAAGAATACCCAGTCATTAAGAAGCAGTTGTGAAAGGAATATTTTTGAAGTTGAAGTTTTTGTTTGTTAACCACCGGAGGAGTTTCAGCGGAGGTAATTAAGCAGTATATACAAAACCAAGGAAGCTATGAGAAAACTTAGTTTCCTAAAAACCTATAAATATCGTTTGTATCCTAACCAACAAGAAAGGGAAATCATTGACAAAATATTAGAAACCTGTCGTTGGCTCTACAATCATTTTTTAGCCGAAAGGAGGGATAAATATGAAAAAGAGCAAAAGAAAGTCAGTTATACCCAGCAACAAAACTCTTTGCCTAGTCTGAAAAAAACTAATCCTAATCTCCAAGGCATTTATTCCCAAGTTCTCCAAGATGTAGCACAAAGAGTTAAAAAGGCTTTTCAAGGCTTCTTTTTGAGATTAAGAAATAAAACAGAGAAAGCAGGATATCCAAGGTTCAAATCTTTTGGTAGATATGACAGTTTCACCTACTCTCAAAATAATAACAGTTATAAATTAGAGCAAAGTCAGTTAAGATTAGCCAGTATTGGTAAGGTGAAAATTAAACTTCACCGAGGATTAGAAGGAGAAGTTAAAACCTGCTCCGTTATTGTTAAGAATGGTAAATACTATGCTTGCTTTTCGAGTGAAGTTGAACCTAAATTGCTCCCAAAAACAGGTAAAAAAGTTGGTATTGATTTAGGCTTAACTTCCTTTTTGACTACTTCGGATAGGGAACTAAAAGAAGCACCGAAAACTTACAGAAAAGCCGAAAAAGAATTAGCCAAAGCAGGTAGAAAAGTTAGCCGAAGGATTAAGAGAAGTAAAAGGAGAAAAAAAGCCGTAATTCTTTTGGCTAAACAGCATGAGAAAGTTAGCAATCAAAGAAAAGATTTAGCCCATAGATTAGCCAAAGAGTTAGTTGAGAAATACGATGGAATAGCCTATGAAAAATTAGCCATTAAAAACATGGTTAAGAATAGATTTTTAGCCAAAAGCATCAATGATGCTGGATGAAAATTATTTCTAACTATCCTAACTTATAAAGTGGTAGAAACTGGTAAGCAAGGGGTAGAAGTAAATGCTAAAAATACTAGTCAGATTTGTAGTGAATGTGATAAACAGAGAGAACAAAAACTCAAATTAAGTCAAAGAAAATTTGTTTGTTCTTTTTGTCCGTATTCAGACAATCGAGATATCAATGCTGCTCGTAATGTTCTAAAACGAGCAGAATTACAAAGTAATGGAAGTGGTTTTTGATAAACCACGACAATGGGTCGGTTCGACCCTTCAAGGAGCAGTCTCATAAGAGGCTGTGGAGAATTGAGAAGCTCCTACTTCAAACTCGAAAGAGTTAAGCAGGGGTAGTTCACAAAGAATTTCTTTACGAGTTACATAAAAATTATTAATAAACTTAATGACGAAAAATTCTCATAATTCTCCTCTGCCTGATTCTCAATCCCTAACTAAACCAATTGGTTTCTGAACCCTCTTTAAAAAATTTAAGTTTAAAGTAATTAGACATTTTTTATTTACTACTTTTAGGGTAATTCTTTGAACTATTTTATTCGGAATTATTACGAATATTTTTCAAATATCTGGAAAGGTAGAAAATTTTGCTAAATTGTTGCCGGGGACAGAACGATTAGGAATCAAAGCGGTAAGCAAGGGGCAATTTTTGGTGTTTGGATTATTTTTAGCACTAATTTTTGCGATAATTTATTATTGAAACTCTTTATGAGAAGAAGAATTAAGAGTGTTAGGGGGATATCATATTAAAAATCTGCTCTTGGATAAGTTTCGGCGTTTACCCTTTGAAGAAAAAAAAGCCAAAAAAGATGAATTAAACAATTTGATAGAAAAGGATGCTTATGAATTAGGTTACGGATGAGAACATATACCTAATCATTTTTATTGCAGTTTTTTAGCCATTTTTTCTACCTTAATTTATTACTGAGACAATTTTTTTGGTCAAAACCGAATGTCATTCAAAGAACTTGGTTTTTTCCTTTTTTGGTTAGGTTTAATTAACTTAGTAGTCTATTTATTTACTAAAAAGATCTTGCGTCAAGAAAGGGTATATAAGGAAAGTGCTGATAGAGAATGAACGGCCATCAATAAGGAGCGGGAAAAAATTATTTTGGTTGAAGGAATGGGTTTAAGTTCGCAATATCAATCAAAACAAAAAACTCTTACCCAAACTAATAAAAATTCGTGCCTTAAATTTAATCGCACTAAATCATTAAATAAAGCATTCCCAAGTGTTTTTTTGGTAGAAATTTTCCCCTTTATTTTACTTTTTTTAGCGACTGATTTTCAGGGAAAAGTCTTGTTCGCCTCTTGGCGTATATTTGATAATTTTGGTGATATCTTTCATTGCCTATGGGATTATGCTGATTATGCTGTTTCCCGAGATAGAATTAACACTTTTCTCAGACTTCCCGAGGAAAATTACAACTTAGCGGGAAAAGAATTAAGTCAAGAAATGCCGATAACTACAATTGTGTTTCGAAACATTCATTTCCGTTATCAGGGACAATCGGAGTGGATTTTAAAAAATTATAACCGCACGCTTACCCTTGACAAAATAAATCGTTTGATTGGGAAAAACGGCACTGGCAAAAGTACAGTTTTATATCTTTTGTTAGGAATGCTCGTGCCTCAAAAGGGTCAAATAATCATTATTGACCATCAAGGAAAAAATTATAACCTCCACCAAGACATCAACTTAAAATATTGACGAGAAAATAATATTGCTTATTGCACTCATGATACCTTAGTTGAAAAAGGTTCTACGGGACAAAAACAATTAAGGAATATTAATCAGACCCTTGAACAAAGAAAAGGTGCTCAAATCTTTTGCTTCGATGAAGCCGATAATGCGTTAGACCAAGACAACCAAGAACAAATTCGAGAAAAAATTAGAGAACTAAGTAAAACTAAGATAGTAATTTATATCAAGCATTAAAAGTAAAAAAATTTTGCATACTATAATTAGGTGCAGAATTATCAACTTACTTTTCAAGCACTCACCAAAGTTAACCAACCCTCTTTAACCACCACTTTCCAATTAGCCCATAAATCTTGCTGTTCCAAATGCACTAATTACCTCCAAGAATTAAATCAACCATGTCAAAAAAAAGAAAACTCCACCAATTAACGGGACAAATTAAGGCTGCTTGACCCGGACAAGTCAAAACTAAAAGCCAATATCGCGGATCAACTTTTTACTGTTTAGAGATTATGGTTCACAGTCTCTTTAACCCCACTCAACAAACCCTATACGCTTTTCCTAATCTAGTTAGTAAAGAGATTTTAAAGGTCTTAGCCTCCCACACTTATCACCACCACCAATATCTCTTTACTTATGAAAAAAGAACTAGAGGATGGAGGTTAAAAGATTGAGAGGAAGTATCAGACAAGTAAAATATAACATATAACGTTATAGGACGCATAATGTTATAGAAAAATAATTATGATCTTAAATTTTCAGCGAAAAAAATTACATGACTTCTTTTTTAAGCGTCTGTCCCTACCAAAGATAAAACATATTGCCAAAAGGCTACTGAGTAAACTAAAGGTTCTCCACCGCGAACGCAGTTGAAGAGGTTTAAAAAACTTCTTCCGAGATGATCTAGAAGAAATGAAAGGTGATTGAAAAGATTGATGCAGTATTAAAGTTAATGATCAATACCGCCTGATTTTTAAATGAGGCAAAGACAATAATGCTTATGAAGTCGATTTAACCAAACATTACCAAAAAGCCAATTTATAAATAAAGTCACATTAATTAACCTACCCTATTTAAACTTATGAATCACACAAAAAAAATGGCTCCGATCCATCCCGGCGAAATACTGAAAGAGGAATTACTAATCCCTCGCGGTATTAGCCAGAGCCAATTATCCCAAAACTTAAAAATTTCTTTTCGAAGGATCAATGAAATCTGCCAAGGTAAACGACCAATCACAATGGATACTGCTTTAAGATTAAGTATCTATTTTAGTACTTCGGTCGAACTTTGACTAGATTTACAACGTGATTACGAATTAGAGTGCTTAGCAGATCAAGCCGAAATTGCCAAAATTAAAAAAGAAATCCGTCCCTATACTAGGGAGCGTCCACGGAACTCTTTACTTTTAAAAAGATAGTCAGAAAAAGAAAATGCTCCTAAAACCAACTAACCAAAAATTTTGCTATGTTTGCTTAAAGCAACTAGGATTTGCTAAAGTAGTTTTAAATCCCAAAAGTAAATTGGTAAGATATATTTGCTTAAATACTACTGCTAATCCTAGTGAATGTTATTCAATTTTGAGATCACTGGCTACCTGAGGAAAATGCTCCCAACAGTGTTGTGCAGTGTATCACATGTCCAGTTTTGATTTAAAAAAACACCTTCAAGACTTAAAAAATGGTCGATATACTCCAAACTATACCATTCGAACTACTAAAACACAAAACTGATCCTAGTCAACGTAGTCAAACCATTATTGGTGGATGAGAAGAATTTGCCGCAAGCGAAAGAACCAGCAGAAATTTAAGAAGTAACCAAAAGTCTTCTAATTTTAGAACACTTTTTAAAATATTTAGTTAATTTGAATAGTAAAACTAGTCATATATAAGTATACAAAAAATTTTAAAGTTCACCATGAAAAAAAAATGACACCCTATCTCAGCCACTGAAATAGCTAAACTATTACTATCTTTTGACCCTAATCGGGAGTATTTTGTAGATGGCAAAATGACAGACAAAATAGAAGAGGAGGGATATGAACCACCTACTATCGGCAATTTTCGCTTAAACAAAATGCTTCATATTTGTCAAATATTGCATTATGCTAAATATGGGGAACCACTTTTTTTTGAAGAGTTACGAGCTTACTATCATGGAGCAATTGTTTATCCGATCTACCGAGACTTTTTTAGTTTTTATCGAAAGCCCTTTAAAGCCGAAGAAATTTCAATCGAGGAAGCCAAAAAGAATTTAATTAACAAAACTTACTACTACTTTAAAAATTACTCCGATGATTACCTAGAAACTTTTTCGCATGATGATCCCGCCTGAAGAAAGACTTGATATGAAAAAAAAGAAGATGATGACCGCATGGTTAATAGTGAACTAAGTGAGTTTTACCAGAAATTGCTAGGTCATATTGTGAAAGAAGTAGAGTTAGGTTAATGTCAGTTCCTTTATTCCAACCAAATCAAGTAATTTGTTTTCAAACTAACTATTTTAAAAATAGATGCAACTTTACTGGCTACCGCTACTATTTGTTAAAAAAGATAGATAAAAAGCATGGTTTGCTAATCTTTTTCCCTATCACTTCTAATCGTTCTCGAGACTGAATTTTTTACAGTCAACACAAAATCAAACAAAGACCCTCTTGTTTAAATAAGCAAAATTTATCCAGCAAGTTTTATTAATGCTAACTGCTTAATAAAGATTCCTTTAAAAGTTGCCGAATTTTTAGAAAGGAACTGTAAAAATCTTCACCCAGCTTGCTTAACTAAAGAAGAATTTAAAGAAATTATTGATTTACACAAATTTGTTTTGGAATTCCAATCCATCCTAAGGGTAGAAGTGGAAGTAATTAACTTGACTGAAAAGAACTTTATTTTTTAAATTACTAAACAATCACCGCCTCCGGCTTACAAAAAAAATCTGCATCGAAGCCGATAGTGATCCATTAGTGATAGTCAGAGGTTCTTCGTTAACACCAACTAAACAAGACTATGATGCAGGGGTTGCTCCCTTGCAGAAATTTGTTTACACTATTAGTGAATTAGAATGAACATTAGAATCGTATGGTTTAAAAAGAGAAGACAATAAGGATAATCAAGAAATTCGTTATATCCTTTTTGTAGATGAGCGTGACCAAATTAGCAATAATTCCTTAATCCATGACCCTAATAACTAAGGTTCTTAAAAGAATGCTTAGAAGGTAGTGATACTAGTCGAAGGTATGAAAGTAATAACCTTTGAATATTCGCGACTAATCACTTAGAAGACATTGAGTCGGCGGCTTATCGTGAAGGAAGATTGAGCAATCCCTTAGATTTTAGTTGAACCTGAGAGGAATTTAAGAAATATTTTGATGATGCTAGTGCTAGTCCAGAAAAATATAAACTGCCCTCTGGATTCAATATACCTCCAATGCCTCAGCGGTGGCAAGACAATGCTACTTTAAACGAGGAGGATAACAAGTGAACTAATAAATTCAATAAATTCTCTTTTGTCTCTGATTTTCTGGGTTACGACCCAACCAAACCTAACAGACCAAGGTTTTGAGAAGTATTTATCACAAGTAATCCAAATGGTCAATATGAAACTGAGGAAGATGAAGTAAATGATGAGGGTGAAAAAATGGGAAATAAAATGAAAATAGATATTGAAATAGGCGAATTCCTAAAATTCTTTTGGCAAAAAAAAGAAAGTGGGCAGTTAGGATCTTATAGCCAAAGAATCAGGTATCTTTTTTCCTCTAAAACCATGAGGCAAAGCGAATGGATTACCTTTGTTAAACAGTTCGAGGTGAGGAAAAAGTTTCGAAAAGTTATCAAGAATAATTTTTCTAACTTCTTTGCCTTCCAAGTTCACTTCTTTTAAATCCTCTAAAAGGTTATTTTTATTTTCTATTACACTATGCAAAATAATGTCCGCTTTTTCCATAATTGTATTACAATATTAGAATTAAATGTCAGTAAAGTAATATAATTCTATTTTAATTGTCTTTTTTTAAATAATCAGTAATAATCTCATCAATTTTATTTCTTTTATCTTTCGCCTCTTTTTTTGCTTCCTCTTGCTTATCAAGTTCATTTTTAATTTCGTTAACAATTTTTTCTTGCTTTGGCAAAGAAATACTAGGAACTTTTATATGTTTCCATTTATCAATTCCAAGTTTTTGAGTAGGTTTAATTGTATATTCTTTCTTCACCTGTGTTTTAAAGATAAAACTATAAAAATAGTAAAAGTAAAATAAGCCAACGATTTCCTGTTTAGATGTTAGTTTAATAAAATTCTCACTTAAAATCAGATTTTCCTTTCCTATTTCTAAATTGTCAGTGTTTATCAAAGCAGTCTTTCCAATAGTTCCCGCAATAGAAACGCACAACTCACCAGAGACAATTTTATATCTTTTTAATTGATTGTAAATTTTGGCAGACAAATAAGGAATATTATCTTTATCTATTCCCCGAATACTTACTTCATTAGGCCTTAAATAAAAATAATCGGTTTTTTCATCTGAAAATGTTTCTCCTTTCGGAACCCTTTTTCCGCCTGACATTTTAAAAATATGATTTACTGGAACTCAAACTTTGTCCTCTAATTTATTTTCGGTGTGAAAATGAGGACTTAACCTAATCAAATTATTCTTTGAAATGCTTAAAAAATCTATCTCAAAAAATTTTCTTCCTTTATCTTTCTCAAATTTTTCTAAGTCAAAATTAAACTCCCTAGCAAAAACTCGATTGATTCTTCTCTCTCTCTCTCTCTCTTTAATAATGTTCTTTAATTCTCTAATTTTCTTTTCAATTGGCTCGAGTTTAACCACAAACTGGTCTTGAATAGATTTTGGAACCTTAGGAACTTTGATTTTTAATAAGTCTTCTGAATTAACTCTTCTGTGTGTCTTTCCGCTTTCCAATTGACTTAAACTAGATAAAAAAGTTTTGGTAGTGAAAAGATAGTAAATAAAATATGGATTATTCTCATTTGCTATTTTGTATTCTAATAATTCAGTAGAAGCAATATATCTCTTATGTTCTAAATTCAAAAAGAAATTTCCCATTCGTGGTTGTAGTTTAGGGATAACAATATCTCCTGCTTGTAAAACATTTTTATCTGAACCTATTTCTTTTACTTCTTCAACATTAATCAAATTGTTAAGTCTTCTCTCAATATTGCCAATATCCACTAAAATTTCTGGTTCTTCTAATTCTCCTTTTGCTACTTTTTTGCTGACTATTAGCTCTAAAATCTCTCTTAATCTAATGTAGTTTTTGGCGGAAAATACCTTTTCCTCTTGGATATCAAAAAAGTTCCTATAACCAAAATCTAACCTTAAAAATTTTTGTTTTCCAATGTTTTCAAAGTTAGTTGTGAGATAATTCTTTTCTAGCAGCATATCTTTAAAATTTATTTCATTCTAATTTCCTTAAATAGTCCAAAGCGGTTTCCATAATTCCATCTTCCTCAACCAATAAAACTTTATCTTGTTTATCAGTTCTAAAAAGTTCATTCGAAGTTTTCTTTTCGCTTCATGCAGTATATCTTTTATAACCAATATTTTCCACTTCCGCCATAAAGATTTGGTAATTTTTAATTTTTTTTGCCACTTCACTAAATACCCATCAATTATTTACCAAACCAAAATAATCTTTGGTGTCATTATCATAATTACTAAGTTCAACAAGTTCTTTTTGATATTTTTTTACAATTTCTTCACTTGAAAGTTTTTCATCATTTTCTTCTATACAATCTTTAAGTATTCTAAGTAAAATCATCCTTTCTTCGCTTTCGCTCAAATTTTTTATTGAAGAAAACCTACTTCGTTTTTCGCCTTTGAGATAAACTTTTAATAAATTTTCGCATCTTGTTTTAAGGTGGTTTCATTCTTTCGAATATTCATTTCAAAATTTATCTCACTCCTCTATTTCTTGTTTAGTCTTTTTTCGAGCAAATAAAAGACTGGTTTTAGTAGGAGTAAATGGCTTAAAAGTTAATTGTGGTAGACTGATAACCGCTTTTACTTCAAAGTATTTGTAAATGAATAACCTTATATGCTTATTTTCGGTAGTATCAAAGACACTTTCGGGCAAAACCACTCCCAAACGACCATTAGGCTTTAATAATTGATACCATCTTTCAATAAATAGATTTTCTGAATTCCTTTTATCTCCAAAGATAAACTTGTCCTTTAAGTGTTCTTTTGCTTCATTGGCTAAGCTTACGCTAAAAGGAGGATTACTAACTACTATGTCAAATTTATTGTTTGTTTCCTTGTTAAAATAAGTTCTATCTTGGTTGCTTTTTTTTAAAAAATTAGTTTTCGTTTCTGCTTCACTTTCTTTTTCATAATAACTGAAAGGTAAAAGTCCATCTTTGACAAAAATATTGGCTGAACCATCCCCATGTAAAATCATATTTACTTTGGTAGCAGTTCCTAAGTTAAAATTAGTCTCTATACCATAAATAAACTGCTTTGCTCAATTATTTTCTCTATTATCAGAGAACCATTCTGAATGCTTATTTTTTATATCCTCGGTGTCTGAAAGTTTATCTTTAAATCTTATTTTCAGATTTTCAGTGATAAATTTCATGTATTCAATAAGAAAAGTTCCGCTTCCAGCAGCAGGATCTATCAAATAAGGAAGTTCTTGTTCGTTATTTACTTTCTCAATTGCTAATTTATCTAACTGCAAGCCTCAAAGTAGAAACCTTACTATATTGATATGAGTAAAAAATTGTCCCCTGGTTTGCTTAAATCTTTCTCTAATTATTGCTTCAAAGAAATCACCTAGTATATCTTTGCTTTCAGAATTTCTTCTTCATGAGGTAAAAGAAAATCTTTCTAATTCTGAAACAGTGTATTTAAGATTGGAAAGTGAAAACTTATTTTCATCTACTACAAAACTCTTTTTGAGTTTTTTTTGATCAGTAAGATTTAGTCTTTTATTTAATGCTTTCTTGTATAAGTTATTAATTCTTTCAAATAGTTGTTCATTACTTTCTGCTTTCTTAGTTTGAAAAACATATTCTTTACCACTTTCCGTTTCGCTTTCATCCTGAATTTTGGCTAAAATTATATTCACTAGTGAAGAAAAAATATCATTGTCATCGGTTCTTCCGCCTCCTCAAAGCACATCATGAAGGTTTTTTCTTACTTCATTTAATTTGCTAGAAGAAATTTGCTTTTCTAAATCTCTTTTGCCACCTTTAACATATGGTTCCTTTTGAGCCTCTCCATATGCCCTGGGTATTTTATTAGCAAAGTTTCTAGTTTCTCTTCACAAATCGAATGAAGTAAATTCTTCATAATCAATTAACATACACTCATCTTTTATTGTGTCTTCAATTGCATCAATAGAATATAAGACTAGGTATTTTACTTTCTTACCTTGACCTTTTTCCTGCGAAGCAAGACTAAAAAGTTGATTTTTAATAGTTTCTTCTTTATTTTTTTGTATTTTGTATTCTTCTGGACTTTTTAACTCTATATACAGATAAGCATCTCCATTATCATCCCTAACAATTATGTCAATTCTTGGTTTAGTCGTTTTTGGTGTTCCTATATGATATTCTTTTTCTAATTCAATGTTCTTCGGTTCGTAGTCTAATTCATTGACTAGTTTAGCAAGAATATAGGCTCTAACCATTTCTTCACTGCCAAATTTGTTTATCTCTCGATGACTTTTTATTTCCTCCGAATACTTAACTTTTGCTTTTTCAAAGTCGTAGATTTCGACTACTTTCGCCTTTTGTTGTTTATCATCTAAATAGTTTTTTAGACTTTGTGCTATTTCCTGGTTCATTGTTATTCTAGTTTGCTAAAACTCTTAGCAGTTTTTGTATTTATATTTAGATTTTAGATCTATATGCCATAAAATTAACTTATAAAAAGCGGACATTATTTTGCATAGTGTAATATTTTGAATAGTTTACTGAAATCCATTTTATAAAAATAATTTTACTCTTTTTCTTTACTTTTCAACTGTGGAAAAGCAATTACTTCTTTAATACTACTTTGACCGGTAAATAACATTACTAATCTATCAATGCCAATTCCTAATCCTCCAGCAGGTGGCATCCCATATTCCAAGGCTTCCAAAAATTCTTTATCAAAACTAGCAATTTCTTCATTCCCTAACTCTTTTTGTTTAGTTTGTTCCTCAAACCTTTTTTTTTGCTCGATAGGGTCATTTAACTCACTATATCCATTCGCAAATTCTAATCCGCCAACATATAATTCAAACCTGTCAGCAATATTTTTATTATCAACTTTACTTTTGGCTAGAGGTGAAGTTTCTATCGGATAATCATAAATAAAAGTTGGTTGAATTAACTTTTTTTCCACATATTCTTCAAAAAAAGCCAAAATAATGTATCCAACACTTTTTTGAAACTTTTCTATTTTCAAGTTATGTTTTTGGGCTAATGATAAGGCTTCTTCTAAATTATTTATTTGGGAAAAATCTAAGTTGGCATGTTCTTTAATGGCTTCTACCATCGACAATTTTCTAAAAGGTTCTTTCAATGAAATATTATGAGAATTAAATTGAAACTCTTCTTTTTTTAATACTTCTTTGGCTAAATAGTGTAATAATTTCTCAGCCAAATTCATCATATATTCAGAGTTCTCATAAGCCTGATAAACTTCAATAGTAGTAAACTCCGGGTTATGACGAGCATCTATCCCTTCATTACGGAATATCCGACCAATTTCATAAACTTTTTCAAAACCGCCTACTAGCAGTTTTTTTAAAGGTATTTCGGTCGCAATTCGCAAATAAAAATCCCTATGCAATTTATTGTGGTGAGTAATAAAAGGTTTGGCTTGAGCTCCGGAGGCTTCGGAAACTAAAATAGGAGTTTCCATTTCAATAAACTCTTGGTGGTCTAAAAACTGGCGAATATTTTGGATTATTTTATGACGGGTAATTAAAATATCTCGGGTTTCAGCATTAACTAATAAATCTAGGTATCTTTTACGAAACCTTTCCTCAGTATCTTTAAGTTTATAGTGAGCAGTATCAGGAAGAGTTTGCTGGCATTTGGCCAAGATGATAAATTCTTCTATTTCTATACTTAATTCTGACTTATTTTTCTCTGCTTGGAGGTCAGTTTTGCAAAGCTTTCCGGTTATTCCAATAATGTCTCCACTGCTTATTTTAGCGAAATCCTTGTTCCGAACTACCTTTAATTGGACTACTCCGCTTTGGTCAGCCAAATCAGCAAAGGTTAACTCGCCAAATCTTCTTATCCTATTTATTATTCTGCCAGCAATCTTTACTACTTCATTTTCCAGTCTTAACTTTTCTTGAGAAAAATTAGCAAACTCCTTGATAATTTTCTGGATATTAGTATTGCGGGAAAACTTAGTTTGTTGAAAGGGATTTAGTGATAAATCAGTGAATTGCTTTTTTTTTAATGCTTCTTGCGAGTGTTCCATGCTATAAATTGATTTTTGTATTTTCAAAGCCAAAAAATTATTTTCTCTCCCCTTTCTTCTTTTCTTTTTCCTTATAATTTGGCAAATGATAGGGTGCATAATAAAACGAATAATAAAATAGGAAATGAAGTATAGGAGAATGCAAAACCAAAGAGAAATAACGAAAGAAAGACGATGTAAATTGCGTCCAAAAAATTTTCCAAAAGAGGTTTTTGCTAGTCAATAATCAATGAAAAACGAAAATAAAACAATGACTGATAAGAAGAAAAGAATTAAAAAAGCAGTAATTCTTCCTTTGGTTTTCTTAGACATATGGGGTTTTTTAGGTTTTGAACATTTTTTCATTACATAATTTTATTAAGTTTTTTTTAGTAAAAAAAGGAATAGTGGATAATAAAGTGTAAAATGATTATATAGGTAAATTCCTTATCTTAAGGAGATGGCTTTTATTAGATGTGAAATTGGAAAATATTTTTTCGAATAATAATTTTTGCTTTTTTAATCGGAATAGTTCTTTTTCTTCTTTATTTACTACTGCTTTTATTATTTTTTGGAGGAGGGCACGGAATGTAAAATATTGGTGATGACCTTGACTTAATTTCGGTAATTAATTTGATTCTCTGATTGAATTATTAGTATTTTTCACGAAAAGGGCAAATGTAATGAATGTAGCCAAGTTAGAGTATTAGATGAGGAAAATAGTTTGTGTAAGCAATGTGCGAAAAAATATTTCTAGTTTACTTTAATAAGTGAACTAAAAATCGATTATGTGAAAACTGTTCTAAAATTTATGAATAACAGAGAACCAAACACTATGTCTAAAACAATTACTTGCTGTGAACTTTTAACTCTTTTTCGGAGATACTACCAAAAAAAGTTTGGAGTGGATGGAATGATTTTATTTGATGAAGAAATAGAAAACGGAGAATTTAATTCAGTTCATACTTTTACTAAATCGCTATTCATTTATTTAACCAAAAACCATAAACTATGCGAGAAATGCGAAAAGGAATGAAAGAATTTAAAGAGCAATTATTAAGTAGGCATAAAAAGAGAAAGGAACTATTTTTGCAAGAAAGAGTGAAATAAGCAAAAAATAGAGAAATAATATTCCTCCCCTAAGTTGGTAAATTAAGAAAAATTTATTAATAAGCAGTGAAAAGAACTGAAATAGAAATTGTGGAAGTCAATTCGAAAAAAATTATTTTCAAAACTATTTATCCTTGAGCCTTTTGCTTAAACGCTAAACAAGAAAATAAGTTAAAATATTATTTCCTATCTACTAGTCTTCTTAATTGTCAAAAACTACTAAAAATAGTTCCAAGTTACGATTTTTCCTCAGCCATTACTAATATTTCCTCAACTGAAGTCAAAGATTTATTCCTCAGAGACTACCAATTAGCGGATGTCAAATTTCTAAGCCGCTTGAAAAGTGTAGCAATTTTTAGTGAAATGCGCACCGGAAAAACCCCCATTGCCTTAATGACTTTTCAACAATGACCAGTTAGCAACTTATTAATTGTTACTCCTAGCATTCTACAACAACAATGGCAAAAGTCAGTGGAAGAGTGATTAGTTAAACCAGCCTATATCATCACCTACTTGGATAAAGAATGACGTTATAATTTTTACCAAAAATTACTCAGCGAACAAGAATTAGTTATTATTATTTCTAAGGATACTTTTAAAATCGATAGTTCCTATTTTAAGAAATTAAAAAAAAAACAAGTGGCTAATGTTCCTTATTGTGTTATCGTAGATGAAGCCCACTTTCTCCGCAATCATCAATCACAACAGAGCAAAAGTATTTATGTTCTTAAAGATGCTCCCTATAAAATGGCTCTGACTGGCACTCCGGTTGTCAACCGCTCACCCGACATATTTGGCATTCTTAAATTTCTTAACCCAGAAACCTACTCTTCTTATTGAAAATTTGCCGAACAGTATTTTTACATCCATAAATCAGAAATTCGTCGCGGAAAGAAAGTATATAAAATTTTCCAAGTAAAAGGTTTTAAAAACGAGCATTCGCGACAGGAATTACAAAGACAAATTGGACAACTTTCAGTCAACCGAAGGCAAAAAGAAGTCTTGCCTTGATTGCCACCAATCATTTATCAAAAAGAATATTTATTAATGGAAGAGCAACAACAAAATATTTATTCTCAATGAAGAGAAAAGTGGAAAGATTATCAACCCCTCGAAATTTTAGCCAACTTAAAAACTCTGACCCTTTACCCACCCGCCTTGGGATTTGAAGGGACGGGTAGCAAAATTAATTATCTAATTAACTTCCTGAAAGAGAGAAAGGAACAAAGTATAATTATTTTTTCCACTCGCAGTGGAACCTTTTTAGAGCCTTTAGCAGAAGCCTTGGCAAAAAAAAAAATAGCAACTGGTTTGATTATTGGCAAAACTAATTTTCAAGAAAGAGAAGAAAATATTCGCCGATTTCAAAGCGGTGAACTGGGCATTCTTCTCTGTAATATTCAAAGTGCCGGAGTGGGACTAAACCTAAGTCGAGCCGAGACCATTATTTTTGCTGACCGCAGTTACTCGCCTGCTGATAATGAACAAGCCGAGGCTCGTTTTCTGCCTACTACTGGTAACGAGCCATCTCAAGTCCGCTTAGTGATTGATCTTATTTGTCAAGGGACTATAGATGAAAAAATACTTCAACTGCTCAAAAAAAAAGAGGATATAATTAGAGTTTTAAGCGATAACCCTAGTTATTTTTTTACTTAATTTCTAACTCAATTATTAAGAGGGAGGAGTAATTAAACTACTCCCCTAGTTTTGTTTTTATTTATATGTTATTTTTAAAAACAAAGAATTAATTAGGAAAAATTAATTCCTGAATTATACAAGAAGTAAAAAAAGTTAGCATCAATGAGGAGAAAAATGCCTGCCTCCCAATAATATGAGGTAGTTTCCAACAAAAACCCACAAAGTAAGATTAATTACCTTACTTAAAATTCTTGTCAACATTTATTATAATTTTTTATCGTTATCAGGCAAAGTTTTTGTCTTGTCTAATGAGCTACCAATGTGGTTTTTGTCGTCATGGTGAATAAAGTCTATGTTTTTTTTAGTTCTTTTCTGTCCTTACTTGTATGAGTTACTCACCAAGGAACTTCTTTAGTAGGTTTTAACTCACTAGCTTTTAAGAAAATTATTTTTTTCTCTGATTCTGGTGTCAACTCATCTTCTCAGATCCCTTTAAACACTTGGCGAATCTCAGCAAATTTTTCAGGTTTTAGACAACCATTAGAATGTAAAGAACAAGTATAAAAATATTGGTAATTGGTGGTTTCTAAATCAGCGAGAGAAATTTTGACTTTTTGGTTAAAAATAGGATAAGAAATCAAGTTTAAACACTCAACAGAATCTGGTTCTACTCTTAACCTCACTTGGTTAAGTTGTTTCCTTTTTTGACTAGTAAATTTCATAAAGAATAAAAAATCATCACTTTCTTCTTCCAATGATAAACGTCTCCTTTCTTTCGCCTCTTCTTTATTTTTATCAGTGTAATTTCCTTTAAAGTGAGCAATGGTATTAAATTTTGTTATTTTCTTGACCATGTTTTAAACCTAATTTTCTTTTATCTCATCCAAAGTATCATAAAAGAATTTTTTATAATAAGTAATTATTTCATCATTTAGAGGCATTAACCCTCATTCCTGCTTAAGACCCATATGTCAAGCAGGATCCTGATGTGAAAATTCGCGTAATGCTTTGTTATCATCCTCATAATTATTACGGAAATAATTATATACTGAACAAACAAAATTTTTAGTTTCCTTGCTAATATCGGTAACCAAATCAGAAGAAGGGAGATTCCATGATTTCATAAAATCCAGATGCACTTCGTAAACAATAGCTCCATTTTCATAAGCTTCCATTCTTTCTCTAAACAAAGGTTTGCCATACTCAACACAATAAAATATTTGGCACATGTGAAGTATTTTATTCAAACGAAAATTTCCCTCTCGTGTTTGACTACTGTCGGGATCTTCTCCAAACGATATTAGTAACAGAGTAAAATATTTTCTTAAACCCCGAGCATTTTTAGTGTCAAGAGAAAGTAAATACTTTGCTACTTCTATTGCTGAACTATCTGCAGTTTTTAATACTTGAGAACTATTATCATTAGTAACAATAGTTTCTTTGATTTTGTTTTTATTCATTGCTCTTTGATTTTGTTTTTAGCATGACAAAATTTAAAAACATTTGCCTTATCTTCTTTTAGCAATATTTTTATCATGCCTCTCGCATGGCGTTCATACATCGTACATACACATATATAAATTTCACTATTTACTCCTTAAATAGTTTCTAACATGCGATACACTCACGAATATTCACACGAGATCATATATATAAATACATTTTAGCAAAAAATAAACAAAGTGGAAAAAAAAAATTTAGGGATTTATGTAGTTAACTACACCAACTATTAATTCATTTAGGGACTATTTTCTTTTTCTTTCACTTCAATCAACTTTATGAGGCTCTTTTAATTTGAGAGTGTTTAGTTTATCATTGCGATAATCCTTATGCTTTTTAACAATAAAATCGTATTCATTTTGGTTTTTGTCTTCAAGTCATTTAAGACATCTTTGAGGACATTCACATAGAAGACGTTTAGATAATTCATCACCTTCTATATTCATTAAATCCACATAATTGTGATATCTAATAAAAGAAGGATCAATTTTCATACAGTTAGGAAGTAAACGAATTTTGTATTGGAGAATGGATGGTCTTTGCTCTTCTTCATCTTTAATTTCTTTTGAAGTAATAGGTAGTAAATAAAGGTGAAAAAAGACTTTTCCTTCCTTTTTAAACCTAGTTATCTTGAATATTAAGTATAGTCTTGTTCCGAAACCAAGATCGATAAAAAGAATTTGGTTTAGTCTTGGTTCTTTGCTCATTAATTTTTTATTTCTTGAGTTTCTACTAGTTCAACTATATGTGAAGCAAAATTTTGATAATACTTAATTAGTTCTAGATTTTGAGGCATTTCTTTGCTCCCATAAATATTTTTTCTTTCTCAAAGGTTAAATCAAGCTGGATCTTCATGAACAAACTCTTCTAGTTGATAGTCAGTGTAAAGTTTAAAATAGCGGTAGATTTTAGTCAAGAAATTTTTTAGGGAAGAATTTATTCCTTTGACTGATGTTGCATGATGATTATCAACTAAAAAGTGAAACTGTCGGTAAACTTCATAAATTATTCCTCCGTGTTCAAAAGCCAAGAACCTATCGTTAAATAAATAATCTCCCTCTTTAGCGACATAAAGAATTTGGGTAATTTGCAATAGTTTATTAAGGCGAAGATTACCAGCCATCGGCACAGAACCCCCCCCTACTTCTTTCATTTTATCTTTGACAAAATATTTTCTCTCTAAATCCAAAGAAAGAAAAAACTTTGCTATTACTAAAGCAGAAGGCTTGTTATTACTTTCGACATTCATTATACCTTTTTGTATAAGATATTTTAGTGAATTTTATCTCCTTTCTCCTCTTTACTCTCATCATCCTCTAGAAGTTTAATCAGATAATAAACTGCTAGTCCTAAAAAAGTTAAGCTCAGAACAGCAACTCCAATATGTATGTAGCGAATTACTTGGATAATTTTCTGAATACCTTCAATTCTCGGATCTATAAAAAGACCTACAATAGTGCTTGAAAAAACTCACACTATCGGCATTACTACTAATGCTAAAACGAAGTAAACAATTGTTTTAGTTAAATATTTCTTATTCATATGGTTATTTGATTTTCTTATTTTTATTTCTAGTTAGTAGAAAAATAATCCCTCCTACTAACGCTAATATTCCAATAGCAATTAAGGCGATCATTCCTCCACCCATCCCCTTTCCTTTATCTGAGCCATCTTCATTTAAAGCACCATACCTAGACTGATAATTATTCTCGGCATTCTGTAAAGTATTCTGTTGCAAGTTCCTTAAATAATCGGATTGTTGTCTTTCTTGCGGTGTAAGGTTTTGGTTATTTAACCTTTGTTCTAACGAACGAGCATATTCTCTTCAAAACAAAACTTCTCTCCTCAATCCTTCCCTTTCCCAATCAGTATTCTGATTAGGACTAGTTTCGACATCCAGTTCAGGAGGCATCATTTCAACTCGGGTTAATCTTTGGGCTTCTTCCCATTTGAGTTCTCGGTAAGTGACATGACATAAAGGAGAACAAAAAGCCAACTTTACTTCATAATCCAACATTCAGCCTTTTGCCATGTCAGGAAATTCAGTTTTCTTACATTGCGGACAAGTTTGTTGATTTTCTTGCTTATATTTTTCAATACAACCACAATTTAAACCAAATCATTGGGAACTTTCACGAGTGAAATCAACTTTATGCTTTATGTATCTTCTCCTTTTAATAGTGTAAGAAGTCTTATCTTTGTGAACTATACAAGAAACTCCGCATCTTTCGCAGAGTTCATCAGATTTAGGTTTTCGGTCTTTATCGGTCGGTTTGTCTTTTTTATTCCCAGGTAATTTTTCGCTACACTCATCACATAGTCACATTCCTACTTCTCATTTTTCATTGTTCTCATTGGTAATAAAGATTATGGTCGTTTTTCTTACATAACTGACACTTAAAGCATTCATCGCAAACATTCCATACTTGTTTAGTGCGAAGATTTTCTACTTTCAAAAGTTCTTCTTGGGTGCTTTTCTTACATTTTTCACACTTGTTCTCACCTTTTCCACCTTCTCTTTTTTGCTTACATTCTAGACAAATCTTTATCGTTTTGTTATTTTCCTTTATACTTACTAAATTGTTTTTCTTTTGCTGGCAATCAGCACACTTTTTCACTTGTTTAGGATCTTGTTTTTTATAATCATAAACAATAATTCAATTTTCTTCCATAAAACCATCTTCATCTTTAATAGTAAATTCTTGAGTTTTACGACCGATATAATTTTCACTGTTAGGGACATAACAAAGTTCGTAATGCAATATTAAATCTTTCTTCTCATCATAGTTGGGTAATTTGACATTTTTTAGACTACCGCCACAAACACCGCATTTATAATTTCCTCCTACCATTAGCCGATAATTTTATAAGACTTCGTCACTAAATGGCAGTGAGGAATATTTGCTTGTATTGAAGAGACTAGATTTTGCTCTCTCTCTCTCTCTCTCTCTCTCTCTCTCTATAGAGAAGTGATTGAGAATTCTGTTAATTCAGTTTTCTATATTTTCTACCATATATTATATTTTTCATTCAAGTATTCATGGGGGTTCAAATTGTATTGTATTCACTAACTTTGAAAATTAAATTAAACATAAATGATTTATATATATCATTTAGAAATCATGTAAAATGAATATATGGAAATAACATCCTCCAAATACTCAATAAACCATTGTTCATCTTTTTTTAATAACTCTTTTATGTTTTTGAAGTGGAACATTTACCTATGTCTATCCTATATTGTAATTTTAACTATAACGATTAGAGTTGGCAAAATAGCGGGTGTTAAAGATGACATATGGAAGACATTGTAAAACTATTATATAGCATTTCCAAATACCAAATTAAATAATCGTGGCTATGAGAAAAGTTATAAATAAGCATGCTGGGGATAATTCACAGCAAAATAAAGAAAACCAATCTCCTCACAAATCTCTTAATGAATTGGATTCGAGATTTGATGATATGGCAAGGATGATGTGAAGAACACCTCCTTTAAGACTGAAAGATTTAAAAGCCCAATTAAAAAAAGAGCGGGAGGAAAGGAAAAGACAAAAGTCTAAATAGATTTTTTGACCATGAGGGAGAAATGTTTTTGCAAAAACTTTTAAAATATTGGTGTAATTAACTACATAAATCCCATAAATTATTAGGCAAAAACCTTTCTGGTGGTAGAGGGTGAGGTTAGTAATATTACAAAAAAAGATTATGAAATGTCTGTGCATTGACCCTTCTGGAACTGGCACCACCGGAATGGTTTTGTTTGGAACTGATAGTAAGTCAAAACATATATTTTTTGAATACAAAAATAAGGATTGAGAAGCACATTTAAACTTTATTATTAATATTGTAAGGGAATCCAAACCAAACACTGTTATTTATGAAAATACTACTTATATTTATGGTCGACAACATCAAGGAACGGTAGGGTTATATAAATTAATTGGTGGGATTATGGCTTTAAGATATGTCTTTGATTTTATTCAAGAGGTAACTAGTATAGCAGTTAACCAAGTTAAACCTTTTAAGGACAAACTTTTTCGTGGTCAAGAACAAATTGAGGGTCTAACTTGCCAAGTCGGGCGAGGCAAGGGTTGAAAATATAAGCGGGAGAAAATTAGTTTACATCAATTGGATGCCTTAGTAGTTTATCATTTGTGAAGCGACAAAAGTTTGGAAAGCAAAAAAAGTGTTAAAAAAAAAATAACCCAACTACAAACCAAAAAGAGATTAGGTATTAGACAAAAAGAGGAGTTAGAAAGGTTAGAGAAAATTTTAGCCAAAAAAAATACTGGGTAAAGAATTTTATCAATTAATTCAGAATGAGAAAGGAGGTGCTAATTGGAAAGTATTTTATGATTTTTTGGAGAAAATAAACCCAAATAGGAGACAAACAAACTATTTTCCTTATGGATAATGCTAAAACACACCCTCTAGTCAAAAAAAAAAGTTAAAATACTCTTTTCTTAATTAATCCTGGTTTGGACTATTGATAAGTTTAAAAATTAAATCTAATTCCCAAACTAAATTAGGTTTAATCAGAAGGGAGAATTGCTTCTCCCTCCACTTCTTTAAAAACGGTTAGGCTTTAAAATCTAAAAAGGAATCTTTTTTCTTTTTACTAACCACCTAACTTACAATAAACTTTACTCATCAATTTCTTCACTTGCCCCAGTTAATTTATCTCAGAATGCCACTGCTAATCCACCTATTACTAACAATGCCACTCCTCCTCCAATTCATTTCCACTTATGTTTATCTCAATGGCTTGTTTCAGTTGGAGCATCACCGGTGGTTTGCTCTTTTTTCGCAAATTGGTGAGGTGTGCCAGTTTTTTCCTCATAAAGGAACCGAGCCATGGCTTCCGGAGTAAATTTACCATCTTTTTTTTGATAAACGGTCTCATCTAACACTTTTTCAACCTTACCATCCATTTCTTTCCAATTATTCATTTCCGTTTCGGTTTGATTTCTAAAACTAGCATCATTCTCTACCTTAAAACTAAAAATAACTTTGATTACTTTTTCTGCTTTTTCGCTAGTTAAGAAGTTATTAACTTTCTCAATCTCATTATTACCAGTTGGTTTTTGACCTAATTTTTCCTCTAAATATTTAGCAAAAGTTTTCTCTTGACCTCCTTTAACATTTTCTGTAATGAAACTTACAATTTGCTCTTGGTTTCTTAATTGAGATTTATCGTTATTGTATTTCATTCAAGTTTGAGCCTTTTCTTTAGTAGGTTGAGGTTTAGCAACGGTGGCATCATCTTCCTTAAAGATGGTTTGGAACATTTCCATCGATTCTTCCTCGGTTAATGATGGCTTTTGTTCTGGTTGTTTTGGTTCTTTGGTTTTTTCAGTATCAATTTTACCAGTCAATTCGGTTTGCTTGTTAGTGATGGCAGTTTGGTCGTTTAAGTTATCGAATTCATTTTCTCAATTATCACCTAAAACTGCGGTGATGGTTTGACCATTAACGGTGCCGGTTTCGGTTTGGTCAGTGGTTTTAGATTTTCAATAACTTTTCACTGCCTCAATGGCTTTTTGACGAGCCTCAGCGGCTACAAAAGGAGGGATTTGTTTGGCTTTTCTGATGACCGCAATGGCTTCTTTAACTTTGTTTTCTCGGGTGCTTACCTCGGAGGTGTCATTAGCCGCATTAATATATCCTTTTCAGTCCTTTATATTTGTGCCATCAATTAAAGTTTCGGTTTTATTTAACTGGGTTTTGACTTCCTCATTAGTTATTTTAGTTTGGTTATTGGAAGTGTCGTCTAAGAGGTCTTGTAAGGTGCTAATAGCAGTGGATTTGGCGGTTTTTAAAGTCTCTTTTCTTTGGCGTTCGCGTTCGGCGGCATCAGCCTCATCTTTGGCTTTTTTAGCCGCTTGGTAAGCGGCAATTCCGGCAGAGGTTTTAAGATCATAATTTTTACTTGTGCCATCAACGCCAGTGAAATCAATCGTGCCATTATCTTTTACGATACTAGCAGGAATGCGAGGTGTCTCATTATAAAGAGCCGCGGCTTGGGCACCGGTTAAATTTTTGCCACCATAAGGAATAATATCCGAGAGTGAGGCACCGGGAACTGCGGCTTTGAAACTTGCAACAAAAGCGAAGTTAATGGCTGCTTTATTTCCTAGGGCATTAATTTCGGAAAAGCCAACCACTTTAAATCCACCTACTTCTACTTGAGGTTGTCTGTTTCCATCATCTTTTATGTACTCAGCATCTCAATTATTACTGTAAAGGGTTCGGGCTTGAGCGGCAGTTAAGTTAGCCGCGGTAATGCCTCCAGTTCCTGCATCGGTTAAGTTAAACCATGCATCCATGATGGTGTTATCACCAGCAGTTGCTCCGGTGCCATCAAAAACTTTTTTTCGTGGACCTGGTTCAGCAGCCGCAGCGAAGTTAGTGCGTCAAGTGGTTTGGGCGACTGGCACCAAAGCAAGTTTATTTCCTAAGGCAATTACAGCAGCAGCTCCTCCATCCTCATGGGCTCCGGTAGCGGGGTTAACTACTCGTACATTACCCCCGTTATTAAGAATATCGGCAACCTCTCAATTATTACTGTAAAGGGTTCGGGCTTGAGCGGCAGTTAAGTTAGCCGCGGTAATGCCTCCAGTTCCTGCATC